ATGGGACATGGCCTCGGGTTCTGCGGTCAGCCCCTAGAGGAGACAGAAGGGGAACAGTGGAATAGTCACGATGCAGCCCTGGGCAACCCCATCTGCTGCCGGAAACCCAGGGGGAAGAAAGGAGAGGCTGTGACCTTTGCCCTGGGCTGTGGGGAGCCCAGGAGCCAGGGCCCTGAAAGGCAGGTGGGGACCGGACCGGCGCGTGGGGCCTTCTAGGCCGCCTCTAGGGTGGGGGAGGGGGCGGGCAAGTGGACAACCGCCAGCCTCGAGATCTGGGGCTTGGGCTGTTTCTTACAAGCAGCCGGAGGCCTGCACTGCTGTCGGAGTCTCCCGGGTGGGAGCTGAGCCAGTGGGGGCTGGGGTCTCGGTAGGGGACGTGTGGGGTGTGCCCAGACCTGCCCCTTAAGCAGCTTTAAGGGGCCGGAGCTGGAGGCTATTTCTATCCCAGGAAATCCCCGGGCCATCTGTGACCAACGAGGGCCTGAACCTCCCTCCCCCTGGCTCCGGATTCTGGGGTGGGGGGATCAGGCCTGGATCGGCTGCCGGTGCCTGCCAGTGGGGTACGCCGGGAACAGCGGGGTGCGGGGGTGTGTGGGGGATGGAAGCGACCACGGGGCGTGCGGGGAACAAAGCGGGCGCGGGGCGAAGCGAAGCGGGTCGGGGGCTGCGGCCGCGGCACTGGCACCAAGGGCGGATGGGCCCTGCGCGGGCCGGGGTCGCAGGGGGCCGCGCGTCCCGCTGTCGCCGCCGCGCGCCGCCCCCTCCCGCCGGCTCCAGGCCGCCGCGGCTCCCAGCCCCCACCGCCGCCGCCACCCCCGGCCGCGAGCGGCCGCGCGCCCCGGCCCGACCAAGTGACCGACCCGAGGCGGCTCCGCTCGGATGCGCAGGACCCGCGTGGGGGCGGGGGCGGGGGCGACCGGCCGCTTGGCGCAGCGGGTCAGACACACTCCTGGGCTCGGGCCGGACACTCACCGCTGGCGGGGCGCCGCAGGCCGGTGCGCACGGTGTCCACTGCGCGGCCGCGCGGTGATGGCCGGTGCGCCCGAACCCGCACCCGCTTGGCGGCCGCTCTGCCGGGCCTGCGCCTGCGGCTGGGGAGACGCAGCGGGGCCTTGTGACGGGGCGGGGCAGGGGGCGGAGAAGGGGCGGGGCGGGCGAGCTGGGGTGGGCGGGGATTCTGCGGACCCGCCCCTCCGTGCCCCGCCCGCCGCCGCCCTACGGGTTCTCGTTTGCCCCGGCCGGAGGCCCGCGACCCTCGCCTCCAGACCCGACTCCTGGAGGCAACAGTGTGGTCTGGCCAATTTGTCTGGCCCTTCAGGGAGTTAAGAAATTTATTCCTAAATGCGGGATTTGCTGAAGTTGCCCAGGACTGACCTGCCCGTTCTCGGCCTTAAAACACGACGTTCCCTTCTTCTTTCCATCCAGGTCCGTCCCGAATCCACAGGCCTAATCGTTTAATCCCCAAATCAAGGCCTCGTTGTTTCATTGCCCCGTTTCTCTATCAGCCCAAACTCTGCCTGGCTTGCCACTAGACACCCTGATAGAAACGTTTTAATCGTTGTGCGTGCTTAGTAGGTGTTTATGTTTATGGGTTACATGGAAAGTTCCGATACAGGCATGTGGTGCATGGTAATCACATCAGAGTGAATGGAGGATCCAGCAGTTCCAGCATTCGTCCACGTTACAAACGATCCGATTATAATCTTGTAGTTGTTTTAAAATGTACAATTAAATTATTTTTGACTACAGTCACCCTCTTGTGCCAGCAAATACGAGGTCTTATTTCCACACTAGAGACTCAATGCGGGCTTGTCTTCCTGATGTGCTCACAAGCTGCGAGGGGCTGAGGCTTGGGGATGCAGCGGGACTGGAGGCCAGGCCGCCTCCCTGCTTGGCTCCTGAGTCCTGCTTGGGGGAGCGGTGACTGACGCAGGCAGGGTGCATCGTGCTGCCAGCCTTCCCACCCGGGGCGTGGACCCGACCTGCCCTCCTGCCCTTGGAGGGCCAGCCTCTCTCAGACCGCTCGGAGTCCTGTACCTATGGTGTGCTGGTGCAATGTTTAGCAACCCGACCTAGTGAGGGGAAGCCCGGGCTGCGTCTTCTGCACATGCCCGTGGTGTGCATACTCCCACCAAGGCTAGTTTCAAGTTACCCCCAGTTGAACAACCAGTCCACAGAAATTCCTGAAAGTGTACCAATCTGCCTGTGGAGTGAGTGCTGCTTGTGGCAGGCCCTCTGCAGCCGGGGTCGGCATCATGGGTAACTGGTGATGGGTCCTGTAAGAGGAAACATGGAAAAGGCAGGGATGGATTTACGTTTGTAGAAGCAGAAGCTCACAAAATGTGAGAGACCTTTAAGAAAAATAAAATGCAGCTAGGTGTGGTGGCTCACACCCTTAATCCCACCACTTTGGGAGGCTGAGGCAGGCAGATCACCTGATGTCTAGAGTTTGAGACCAGCCTGGCCAATGTGGCAAAACTCCGTTTTTACTCAAAATAAAAAAATTTGTACCAGCCAGGCATGGTAGTGCACACCTGTAATCCTAGCTAATAGCAAAGCTGAGGCAGGAGAATCGCTTGAACCTGGGAGGCGGTTGCAGTGGTGTGAGATTGTGCCATTGCACTCCAGCCTGGGCAAGAAGAGCAAGACTCTGTCTCAAAATAAAATAAAATAACAAAATAAATATAATATAGGGCTGGGCGTGCTGGCTCACGCCTGTAATCCAAGCACTTTGGAAGCCAAGGCGGGTGGGTCACCTGAGGTTGGGAGTTGAAGACCAGCCTGATCAACATGGTGAAACCCTGTCTTAATTTAAAAAATAAAAATTTAAAAGATAAAAATAAATATAAATATAAAATAGCTGGGGATCATGGCTCACGCCTGTAATCCCAGCACTTTGGGAGGTTGAGGCGGGTGGATCACTTGAGGTCAGGAGTTAGAGACCAGCCTGGCCAACAGCGTGAAACCCTATCTCTACTAAAATACAAAAATTAGCCAGTTGTGGTGGTGCACGCCTATAGTCCCAGCTACTTGGGAGGCTGAGGCAGGAGAATCACTTAAACTCAGGAGGTGGAGGTTGCGGTGAGTTGAGATCATGCCACTTCACTCCACCCTGGGCAAAAGAGCAAAACTCCATCTTAAAAACAAAACAAAACAAAAGGCAGAGTAAGGGAGATCATGCCAGAGGGATGGCCATGGGGGTTTGTGGGGAAGGTGGAGGCTAAGCAGAGGGAAGATCCAGTCCTAGGCCACTGAGGCAGGAGGGGCCTGTAGCTCTGCAGGAAGAGGAGCCTAGAGGCCTCTGAGCATCGGGTGTGCAGGGGGCATGGGGCCAGAGAAGGGACTGAGGTCTGGTCAGGTGCAGCTTAGCAGGTCCTCAAAAGGACCTTTTTTTTTGAGACAGTCTCGCTCTGTTGCTCAGACTGGAGTGCAGTGGCATGATCTCAGCTCACTGCAACCTCCGTCTTCCCAGTTCAAGTGATTCTCCTGCCTCAGTGTTCCAGAGTAGCTGAGATTACAGGTGCCCACCATCATGCCCAGCTAATTTTTGTATTTTTAGTAGAGACAGGTTTCAACATGTTGGCTAGGCTGGCATCAAACTCCTGACCTCAAGTGATCCGCCTGCTTCAGCCTCCCGAAGTGCTGGGATTACAGGCGTGACTCACTGTGCCTAGTCCTCGGGACTTCGGTTTTTACTGTCGCTGATGCTGGGAGCTGTAGCAGCTGCTGGTGTCACTTTACAAGGCCCACCCTAAGGCCTCTGTTGAGGACCCCCCGTGGGAATGGCAGACAGAGACTAGTTAAGAGGTTAGTGTAGCTACCTAGCAAGAGATGCTGGAGGCTGGGGCCAGGGTTGGGGCAGCAGAGGTGCCGCCTGTGCAGGGCTAGGACTGCCAGCTGGCCAGAGTCCTCAGCCCCTGGAGGGAGGAACAGCAGGGGTGAGGCCGAGTTTTAGTGGGCTGAGGGTGGGCTGGAAGTGGGGGATGGAGAGCAGTAGTGGGCACAGCTCTTTGAGAGGCTGGAAGCAAACGGTGCTTGGGTGATGTGGGGGGCTTGTGGCGAGTGGGAGTGTGGATTCTGAAGGCACCGCCCAGGTGTGAGGCCTGGTGCTGCCGTGAGCCTGTCTGTACCTTCGTTTCCCTTTCTGTGGTGAGGACTAGTGGCAGCAAGGAATGCAGTGGTGCCGTCACCTTGTTATCTTCTGGGGTTACTTGTGACGATGCCAGTGATAGTGTGAGAGGAGGCGCTGCAGGCGGGGGAGAAAGCTGCAGGAATGGCCAGGCAGGACCGAGGCCGGAGGGAGGCTGTGCTGGGATCCACGCTCTTGAAAATCAAGGGCGGGGAGCTTCCTGTGCTCAGCGCCTGATGGGTGTGAGGGACCAGGAACAGGGTTGAGAAGTTTGCTGGTGGCGTTGAAGGCTAGCCTTGGGCGGGGTTGGGCGTGGAGAGCCAGCGCTTTGTGGGCAGAAGGTATTATGGACACAGAGGCTTGGAGATCCTGAGTGAGGGGCAGTGACTCAGGCCTCTTGGTGGATTTAGTGGGGAGAGTGATTGGCCACTTTCCCGCCATGGAGGCCAGGGGAGTGGAGGTCCACCAGAGGACACTCACGTCCACCCTGCCAGCCAGGGGCTGGAGTGGGCCAAATGGGGCCAGTGGGCTGGGCTGGGCTGGGCTGTGGAGGGTCCTGAGGGATTTAACCTGGTCAGCTGGGGGCTGGGGCTGCAGCAGGAAAGGAAGCATCTGAGCCTCAGGCCTGAGCTAGGGCCCAGCTGCTCCCTCCCTCCTTCCAGCTTTCAGTTTCACTTTTGTTTTCCTGTACCGTGCAGAGTTAGGCTTGCTGAGGGGCAGGCGCAGGAGTCCTGGCTGAGCCCATGGGCTGAAGGTACTGTGTGTGGGGCTATCCATAATTGGGGAGCATTGAGGGCACACCTCAGAGGGGCCTGGGAGGGGTGGAGTGGGCTGCTTCTCTACCCACCTGATGCCCCGTCTCAGGGTTGCAATGGCGGAGGCAGAGGCGGGGGTGGCAGTGGAGGTCCGTGGATTGTCCCCTGCTGTGCCTGACGAGCTGCTCAGGCTCTACTTTGAGAACCGCCGACGTTCTGGAGGGGGACCTGTGCTGAGCTGGCAGAGACTGGGCTGTGGGGGTATCCTCACCTTCAGAGAGCCTGCAGGTGAGGGGGATGGCTGAAGGGGCAGCCTGGATGCCCTGATGTTCTGATGCCTGACATCTTGCCCTGTCCCTGCCCCCAGATGCCGAGAGGGTCTTGGCCCGGGCAGACCATGAACTGCATGGTGTCCAGCTGAGCCTGCGGCCAGCTCCCCCACGAGCCCCTGCACGCCTGCTGCTCCAAGGACTGCCCCCTGGCACTGCACCCCAGCTCCTGGAGCAGCATGTCCAGGCCTTGCTTCGTGCCTCGGGGCTCCCGGTGCAGCCCTGCTGTGCCTTGGCCAGCCCCCGGCCAGACCAGGCTCTGGTCCAGTTGCTGAAGCCCCTTTCTGAGACAGGTGAGAGGCGGGCTTGGGGCTGAGGTGCTGGCTAGGGAAGGTGCCCTGAGCTGACCTGCATATTCCCCACAGAAGTCCGTGTCCTGGAGGAGCAGGCCCAGAATCTGGGCCTGGAGGGGGCCTTGGTGTCCCTGGCCCGGGTGCCCCAGACCCGAGCGGTGCGTGTGGTGGGTGACGGTGCCTCTGTGGATCTGCTGCTGCTAGAGCTGTACTTGGAGAATGAGCGTCGCAGTGGCGGGGGGCCCCTGGAGGGCCTGCGACGCCTGCCTGGGTCCCTGGGCACTGTTGCCTGCTTCCAGCAGTGGCAAGGTGAGTGGGGCAGGGCAGACTCTGCCGACTCTCCCTCTCCTGCAGAAATCTGAAGGTTTTCTGTCTTTTCCCTTCCTCCAAGTGGCAGAACGAGTGCTGCAGCAGGACCACAGGCTGCAGGGCTCAGAGCTGAGCCTTGTCCCCCACTATGAGGTCCTGGAGCCCGAGGAGCTGGCTGAGAACACCAGTGGAGGGAACCACCCATCCACCCTGGGGCATACGGCCATAGAGCATGCTCTCCTGAGGATGGGAGGGCTGGCTACAGCTCTGCAGGGTACAGAGACTGCGACAGTAGGCTCTGGCGAGGAACCAGGACAGTCAGGGGCCTCTCTGAGGACAGGTCCCATGGGGTTTCTGGAAAAGGCAGAGCCGGTTGGCTCGATGCCCATGGGGTCTCTGGAACATGAGGGGCTGGTAAGCCTGAGGCCTGTGGGGTTACAGCAACCGGAGGGGCCCATGAGCCTGGGGCCTGTGGGGTCTGCAGGCCTGCTGGAGATCTCTAAGGGGCTGCCGGAGCAGGAGGGCCTGGTGGAGATTGCCACGGACTCACCGGGGCAGGAGGGGCTGGTGGGTCCCCCGGAGATCACTGTGGGGTCTCTGGAGCAGGCGGGGCCTGTGAGCCCCGGGCGTGCGAGGCTGCTGGGGCAGGAGGGCCTGGTGGAGATTGTCACGGACTCACCGGGGCAGGAGGGGCTGGTGGGTCCCCCGGAGATCGCTGTGGGGTCTCTGGAGCAGGCGGGGCCTGTGAGCCCTGGGCGTGTGAGGCTGCTGTGGCAGGAGGGCCTGTTGGAGATTTTCACGGACTCACCGGGGCAGGAGGGGCTGGTGGGTCCCCCGGAGATTGCTGTGGGGTCTCTGGAGCAGGTGGGGCCTGTGAGCCCCGAGCGTGTGAGGCTGCTGGGGCAGGAGGGCCTGGTGGAGACGGTACTGTCGATGGAGCCGGGCGCAATGCGCTTTCTGCAGCTGTACCATGAGGACCTTCTTGCCGGCCTGGAAGATGTAGCCCTCTTCCCACTTGAAGGATCGGATGTGACTGGCTTTCGGGTGAGTGACCCCTCAGGACTCCTAACCTTTGGCCCCTCCTCCGACTGGGTACTCAGAGTGCCTTTCCTGTGCTCTAAACCTGCAAACCACCCCTCTGCCATGGCCTTGCAGCTCTGCGGAGCCCAGGCCTCCTGCCAGGTGGCCGAGGAGTTTCTGCAGAGCCTGCTGGGCAGCATTAGCTGCCATGTGCTACACCTGGAGCACCCGGGCAGTGCCAGGTTTCTCCTGGGCCCAGAAGGGCAGCGACTGCTCCATGGGTTGGAGGCTCAGTTCCAGTGTGTCTTTGGGACGGAGCGCCTGGCCACAGCCACCGTGGACACAGGCCTTGAAGAGGTAGAGATGGAGTCCCACCCCTGTTCTCCCCTTTCTTACACCTCTGCCCCAGGCCTCCTCTGCCCTTGTCCAGAGGCTGGTGGCCCTGATACCCTCTCCCTACAGGTGGATTCTGCTGAGGCCTTCCCAGTGCTCCCTGGCCATGCCCATGCCCTGTGGCCCCCCGACAGTACAGGCAGTGACCAGAAGGATATGAGCCTGGGTAGGACTCCCTGGAGGCCCGCAGCACATCCTGTGGCCCTCGAGTGACCTTACCCCTGTCCTGCTCTATGCTCCCATCTGTCTAATGACCCATCTGAGGCCTACTCTGTCACCCCCTAAACTCACTCCCAATCTTTCACCCATTCCAACTCTTCCTGGACCCAGCCCATGACCTAGTGGCCTCTCCCTGCTCCCAGAGGAGGTCCGAGAACTGCTGGCCAACCTGGAGGGCCTAGACCTTGATGGGGAGAACTGGCTGCCTCCAGATCTGGAGGAGGAGAAGCCTCAGGAGCACCCGGAGGAGGAGGAGGAGGCGACCCCAGGGCATGAGGAGGATGAGCCTGTGGCCCCCAGCACTGGGGCCCCGAGGCGGCTGGAGGAGGAGGCTGCGCTGCAGCTGGCACTTCACCGGTCACTGGAGCCTCAGGGCCAGGTGGCTGAGCAGGAGGAGGCTGCTGCCCTGCAGCAGGCCCTAGCTCTGTCCCTGCTGGAGCAGCTCCCATTGGAGGCAGGAGACCCTCCAGATGGGGGAACTGATGGCAGAGCCCAGCTGGTGGTGCACTTGGCCTTTGAGCAGGATGTGGAGGAGCTGGACCAGGTGCTCAGGGCTGCCTTGGAGGCCCACCTACAGGAGGAGACGGTGGGGCCCTGGCGCCGCACACTGCCTGCAGAGCTGTGCGCTCGCCTGGAGCGATGCCATGGTGTGAGTGTTGCCCTGCGTGGTGACTGCACCATCCTCCGTGGCTTCGGGGCCCACCCTGCCCGTGCTGCCCGACACTTGGCAGCACTTCTGGCTGGACCCTGGGATCAGAGTTTGGCCTTTCCTTTGGCAGCTTCAGGCCCTACCAGTGAGTCTATATCCTGGACTGAGATGAAGGGATGGGCTGGCCAGTAGGGGGCTAGTGCCTCAGGCATGGCCCTGACCTCCTTTTTCCCCACGTCAGTGGAGGAGCAGACGCTGAAGGGGCCCTGGAACAAGCTGGAGCGTCTGGCAGAGAGCACCGGGGAGTTCCGGGAGGTGGTGCAGGCCTTCTACGACACCCTGGATGCTGCCCGCAACAGCATCCACATCGTTCGCGTGAGTCTATGCGCTGTCTCTCTGGCCCCACGGCGTCCTGGGCTTTTGCACCATCAGCACTGTGCAGTCTGTGGCCTGTCCTCTCGCCTGCATCAAGGTCAGCTGACCAGGAGCTGACAGGCTCCCAGCCCTGTTCCCTGCCCAGAGGGCATTCGCAGAGTAGGGAAACAGGAAGGAACAGAGGCTGGGGGGCCCTGGGATCTGACAGGCCTGAGTGAGGGTCCCCACTCTGCTAATCCTGGCTGGGTCACCAGGGACTATGGGACCGGCTCCATGCCTCAGTTTCCTTATTTGGAGCATGGGACAGTGTTGCCATCTTGTGGCTATTGTGAAAATTACTTGTTCCACAAATGGACCTCGTGCTGTTCTGGGTGCTCTTCTGCCTCCACAGAGGGCCACTGCCATAGGGAAAGTCCCTGGCTCGCTGCAGCTCAGCAGCCTCTTCCTGTATTCTTACTTGCTACATTTGGCAACCCCGAGCATGAGCACATTTCAGAAAAGTCTGGGAACAATTGGTTGGCAACCAGAGTTTTTGGTTCCTTCACCACCCCAGACAAGTGAAGGGAGTTGGCCTCCCTTCTCTTGTCTGGGCTGGTGAAGGAAGAGGAGGCTAAGAAGGAGGGACAAGGGAGGCCAGGGAAGCATGAGTGTGTGGGGTCACGGAGGCGGTGGGGTCACGGAGGCGGTGGGGTCACGGAGGCGGTGGGGTCACGGAGGCGGTGGGGTCACGGAGGCGGTGGGGTCACGGAGGCGGTGGGGTCACCAGAGGCAGTGGTGGCCAGAGGGCAGTGGGGCCACAGCATCAGTCCTGCCTGAAGGAAGGACTAGGGAGGGAGGGTAGGTCTAGCTGGTCTGCTGGGGAATTAGGGTGGGGCGGGGCAAAGAGGAAATGGAGGTGAGGGAAGGAGCAGGTCTGGAAATAATCTGGCCACAGAGGAAGGAGTGATGGGAAAGAGGGCTTCCAGCTCAGAAGACTCAGGTGCTCATAGCTGAGGAGAAGGAATCAGAGAGGGTTGGCTGCAGACAGGTGAGCAGGAAGGGACACTAGAGTGCTGGGGTCACTGTGCTGGGGACACTGGGTGGGGCACTCTCAACTCTTGATGCACAAAGTTGCCAGAAGCATCACCCTCCACCAGGAGCGGTCAGAAATGCAGAAAGAACCTCTGGTTGTCGCCAGACCTGACCACCACCACCACCATCACCATTACCACCATCACACCATCACCATGACCTTCACTACTCACTGTCATCACCAACATCATCACCATCACCATCACCACCTTCACCTTCACCACTCACTATCATCACCATCACCACCACCTTCACCTTCACCACTATCACCACCACCACCACCACCATTACCACCATGACACCATCACCATGACCTTCACTACTCACTGTCATCACCAACATCATCACCATCACCATCACCATCACCACCTTCACCTTCACCACTCACTATCATCACCATCACCATCACCTTCACCACTATCACCACCACCACCACCACCACCATTACCACCATCACACCATCACCGTGACCTTCACTACTCACTGTCATCACCAACATCATCACCATCACCATCACCACCTTCACCTTCACCACTATCACCACAACCACCACCACCATTACCACCACCACCACCACCACTACCACCACCGCCACCACCACCACTACCACCACCGCCACCACCACCACCACCATCACACCATCACCATGACCTTCACTACTCACTGTCATCACCAACATCATCACCATCACCATCACCACCATCACCATCACCTTCACCTTCACCACTCACTATCACCACCATCACCTTCACCTTCACCTTCACCACTCACTATCATCACCATCACCTTCACCATCACCTTCACCACTCACTATCATCACCATCACCTTCACCTTCACCACTCACTATCACCACCATCACCATCACCTTCACCTTCACCACTCACTATCACGACCATCACCTTCACCATCATCTTCACCACTCACTATCATCACCATCACCATCACCTTCACCTTCACCACTCACTATCATGACCATCACCTTCACCTTCACCACTCACTATCATCACCATCACCATCACCTTCACCACTCACTATCATCACCATCACCTTCACCTTCACCACTCACTATCACCACCATCACCATCACCTTCACCTTCACCACTCACTATCACGACCATCACCTTCACCATCACCTTCACCACTCACTATCATCACCATCACCATCACCTTCACCTTCACCACTCACTATCACGACCATCACCTTCACCTTCACCTTCACCACTCACTATCATCACCATCACCATCACCTTCACCACTCACTATCATCACCATCACCTTCACCTTCACCACTATCACCACCATCACCATCACCTTCACCACTCACTACCATCACCATCACCATCACCTTCACCTTCACCACTCACTACCATCACCATCACCATCACCTTCACCTTCACCACTCACTACCATCACCATCACCATCACCTTCACCTTCACCACTCACTATCATCACCATCACCATCACCTTCACCACTCACTACCATCACCATCACCATCACCTTCACCTTCACCACTCACTACCATCACCATCACCATCACCTTCACCTTCACCACTCACTACCATCACCATCACCATCACCTTCACCTTCACCACTCACTATCATCACCATCACCTTCACCTTCACCTTCACCACTCACTATCATCACCATCACCATCACCTTCACCACTCACTATCACGACCATCACCATCACCTTCACCTTCACCACTCACTATCATCACCATCACCATCACCTTCACCACTCACTATCATCACCATCACCTTCACCTTCACCACTCACTACCATCACCATCACCATCACCTTCACCTTCACCACTCACTACCATCACCATCACCATCACCTTCACCTTCACCACTCACTACCATCACCATCACCATCACCTTCACCTTCACCTTCACCACTCACTATCATCACCATCACCTTCACCTTCACCACTCACTACCATCACCATCACCTTCACCTTCACCACTCACTATCATCACCATCACCATCACCTTCACCTTCACCACTCACTACCATCACCATCACCATCACCTTCACCACTATCATCACCATCACCATCACCTTCACCTTCACCACTCACTACCATCACCATCACCTTCACCTTCACCTTCACCACTCACTACCATCACCATCACCATCACCTTCACCTTCACCACTCACTACCATCACCATCACCATCACCTTCACCTTCACCTTCACCACTCACTATCATCACCATCACCTTCACCTTCACCACTCACTACCATCACCATCACCTTCACCTTCACCACTCACTACCATCACCATCACCTTCACCTTCACCTTCACCACTATCACCACCATCACCTTCACCTTCAACACCCACTATCACCACCACCATCACCATCACCACTGCACTGTCAGCTTCACCAACACACCCTCACCACTCACCACCACCAGCATCACCACCACCCAGACACACTGAGCTCATATCCTGGTGGTTTTGTTAATTATTCAGACTTGATTCTTTGAGTGAGTCCCTTTATGACTTTAAATGGTATGCTTGAATTTTTTCACTTGACAGCTTTAGAGAGTGTTTCTTGCCTTCCTGCATGGAAGATGAGGAGAATGGGCCTCCCTTACCTCTCTTTTGCCTCATCCCCAACCTTCCATCTCAATTTGGTCAGTTTCATTATCTTTATTATGTAGTAAAGGTTTCCATAAGTATCACAAAGGCTCCATGCTTGGGCCATAGGTTGGCAGACATACTATAATAATGAAGAAATATTTACCATTGAGCCATAGAAAGAGAAATGAAATCCTAGTTATTAAAACTGTGTTCTGTGAAAAAGCTGTTCTAGGATTCAAGGCTAATGACTCTTCTTTTTTTGGCTTTCTTCATTTCTTCTGGGTCATGCTTGACCCCCAGGTTGCTCAGTGCCTGCTTGTCGGTAGATTCTTCTGTTCAGTGCAAGTCTCTCCTTGAGTGGGTGGTAAAATTGTTGACTTCTAAATTTATATATATATATATATATATATACACACACACACATGTATAATTTTTTGAGACAGTGTCTCTGTTGCCCAGGTTGGAGTGCAGTGGCATGATCTTGGGTCACTGCAACCTTGGCCTCCTGGGTTCAAGTGATTCCTCCTCAGCCTCCCAAGTAGTTGGAACTACAGGCACACACCACCACACCCAGCTACTTTTTGTGCATATGTATATATAAATATAAATATATACATATATATCTTTTTGAGATTGAGTGTTGCTCTGTTGCCCCAGCTGGAGTGTAATAGTGTGATCTCAGCTCACTGCAACCTCTGCCTCCCACATTCAAGTGATTCTCCTGCCTCAGTTTCCTGAGTAGCTGGGACTACAGGTGCACACCACCATGCCCAGTTAATTTCTGTAATTTTAGTAGAGACGGAGTTTCACCATATTGGTCAGGCTAGTCTCAAACTCCTAACCTCAGGTGACCTGCCTGCCTCCGCCTCCCAAGGTGTTGGCATTACAGGCGTGAACCACTGAGCCTGGCTGACTTTTAAATTTACATTGCCCTTTACAATTAGAGGTATTTTGCAACTATAATTTGATGTTGGTGTAAACTTCCTTGTTCTTGCAAGTCTTAATATGCCCTTATTTGTTCTCATTCTTCATTAATAGTTTGGCTGGATTTAGTGCTCAGGTTCAAAATGTTTTTCCTCAGATATTTGAAGACATTGCTGTTTTTATTCCTTCTTAAAAAATATTTTTCTTGGAAAGTTAAAAAATTATCTCACCTGGCTGGGCATGGTGGCTCACGCCTGTAATCCAAGCACTCTGGAGGCCAAGACGGGCAGATCACCTGAGGTTGGGAGTTCAAGACCAGCCTGACCAACATAGTGAAACCCCATCTTAAAAAAAAAAAAAATCTCCCCATGGTTTCTTAGCATCTGGTGTCAGTAGTGAGAGACCCAATGTGAGAAGGTGAGATTTCTTCCCGTTTGCATATTGACTCATCGAGTGTGTGTAAACTTGCAGGGTTTTCTTTCACTCTGAAGGTTGAGGCTTCCTGGCAGGTGGGTGCCAGTGGCGCATGTCTTGCCCCAGTGTCCTCGGCGTTTCATGGATCCTGTGTATCTGAAGATGTTCCTTCAGCCGTCTTCCCTGTGTGTGCTATAGCTCCAGCCTGTGGAGCTCCTGCCATGTGGGCTCAGGCACCACCTCCCCACACCTGCTCTCCGGGAGGTCCTGTCTCTTCCTTCGGCTCTGCACCCTGTCAGTTCCTGAACTCCATCTAGACCACTAGCTGGGTCTTTAGCTTGAACCACTTCCTCATCCCCTGGATCTGGCTCAGCGTCCCTTTCTGAACGCAAGAGCTCTCTTATTTTCAGACTAGTTCCTTTTCATAGCAGCTAGTCTTGTTTAGTGGACATGGTGTTCTTTTGCGTTCCTCTGAAGAAACGATTTAGAATTTCTTTAAACGTGTTTCCCAGGGCTGATTTTCAGATTAGTCACCTGAGGCCTTCTCTCCCACTTGGGCTACCAGCCCTGAGAGGTCTGGTATTGGAGTCAAGTGCTATAGGCAGCATAGGACCCTGGCTCAGCTTTTCTCTGCAGAGGCCTGGCTGTGAGTGGCTGGGGTCTTCCCACCCCCAGACTTCCTTCCATGGGAGGGGGAGGAGGGCATCAGACTCCCCTGGAAGGGTCAGGCCTTTTCAGAGGCCCTCTGAAGTCACTTGCCCATGGAGGTGCTACTGTCTGCTGCTGGACAGAGCATGATGAGGCTGCAAGGTCTCCCTGGAACCCTGGACTCCTCCAACGGAGGGCTCCTGTTTGCCCGGCTCAGCTCTGCCCTGCCTAGGGGGGGTGTCTAAGCCTGGCCCTGGCGTCCCGCAGGTGGAGCGAGTGTCGCACCCGCTGCTTCAGCAGCAGTATGAGCTGTACCGGGAGCGCCTGCTGCAGCGATGTGAGCGGGGCCCCGTGGAGCAGGTGCTATACCACGGTACGACGGCGCCGGCAGTGCCTGACATCTGCGCCCACGGCTTCAACCGCAGCTTCTGCGGCCGCAACGGTGAGGCCTGAGCCCGGAAGGGGCGGGGGCTCTGCCCACCCCGACCACCCTGACCTCGCTCCGTTCTGCCCTGCAGCCACTGTCTACGGAAAGGGCGTGTATTTCGCCACGCGCGCCTCCATGTCGGTGCAGGACCGCTTCTCGCCCCCCAACGCCGATGGCCACAAGGCGGTGTTCGTGGCACGGGTGCTGACCGGCGACTACGGGCAGGGCCATCGCGGTCTGCTCGCGCCACCTCTGCGGGGCCCCGGACACGTGCTCCTGCGCTACGACAGCGCGGTGGACTGCATCCGCCAGCCCAGCATCTTCGTCATCTTCCACGACACGCAGGCGCTGCCCACCTACCTCATCACCTGCAAGCACATGCCCCGTGCTTCCCCCGACGACCCCTCTGAGCTCCGGGGCCCCTCCCCAGCCACTTGACCGCAGGGGCCACCCTCTGGCCTCCCGCTCCCCAGGCTCCCGGCTCCGCCCAGCCTGATGCCCCCGCCCTCCGCTGTGGCCGCCTGAGCTGACCGCGGAGACGCCCCCGCCTCCCGCTGCGCGCTCCCGAAGGCGGGGTTGAGGGGCTGGGGTCCGCAGCGGCCGAGTGGGGCTGGGCCGGGTCTCCGCCTGGGACGACCCCACCACCAGGGGTCAGCAGAGCCCAGGAGGAGGGGGCGGCGACACCGCCCGCCCGCCGCGCCGCGTCCTCGCTCGAAACGGCTCTGTTGTTGAATAAACGTGAACGTGAAACCGGGCGTGAGGGCCCCGGGAACTCCGATTGCGACCTCCGTTTGGGGAGCGGGAACTTCTGCGGACTAGGGGCGGGGTCTGCTGCTCCCGAGGGGGCGTCGCGGTGCGGGGCGGGGCCCAGAGCGCACCCAAGCGAGCGCACGGCGTCCCGGTGTCACGCACGCTGGCGCCGACTGCGTCTCCTTGCCGACCGGCCTACCCGTGCGCCCTGGCTCAGGTGTGCGCCGCTGCCCTGGCCGAGTCGTCCCCCGCGGGCCCCGGCCCGGCCGCTCCCGTGATCTCGCCTGCCCCACGCAGACACGGGCGCCCGATCTCGCGGACATCGCTCGCTAGCTCTCGGCCGGGCCCGAGCGGCGCAGCTCTGGGTAGGGGCCGGGGCGGGGCTCGGGGCTCGCCCCGCCTGCGCCGCCTCCGCCGCTCTCCGGGTCGGAGCAGTCTGGCTGCGGCGGCAGAGCTGAAGCGAGCGGAGTCACCAGGCACGTATGACAGCGGCCGGGATGCAAGGGCGCGCCGCGTGCGGGCGCTGCGGGATGGGGGTCGGGGGGGGGTCTCCGGTCGCTGGCCACACGGAACTAGGGCTGCGCCGCGGCCCCTCCTGCCCTCCCTCGAGAGGACAGCACCTCCCCGCGCGCCCGATACTGCGGAACTGGACGGGCGGTGCCCGGGGTGTGGGCAGGAAAGGCTGCTGGGGAGGCGCGGCTGACCGCAGGGCTCCGGGCGGGGGCTGCCCCCGGGGCGGCCGGTGGAAGGGCCAGTGGGGGCGGGGGGCGGCGGCCCTCTGCGCAGTGCCCGCAGTCTCCTCCCTGGCCCTTGGCCTGAGGGCGGAGGCACAGAGCCCACATTGTGCCCCCACACCAGCCCGCCCCGCCGAGACAGAGCCCCATTCACCTCCCGCACGCCAGCGCTCTTGGGGACGGGGGCTGAGGAGTGTGCGCAAATGGGTATTCGTGCGCCCTGGTTGCGTCTGCGGTGCCGGTGTACGCGCCCCCACGGTGGGCTGCTGGAGCGGCTGCCTGGGCACCCTCCCCGGCCTCGCCGCAGCAGAGCTTCCACGGCCCACGCCGCTGCGGCTGCAGCTATTTATAGGTCTTCGCTGCGGAGATCGAGGTGGGACTGCGGCCTGAGGTGGGGGAGCATGATGGGGAGTCCTAGAGGTCGAGACGGCTTGGAGGTGGACTGCCGGTGTCCAGGGGAAGGGCTTGGGTGTCCTTCTCGGATGACCCAGTGAGCGGAGGGGGCGGTGGTCAGCGTTCCTTGATGGCCTCGCTTGCCTACGATTAGAGGATTACACGAAGAGTCAGGTTTGGGATGGAGGCAGTGGAGGCCCGCGTCTGAGTGAAGGCAGTCACCCCCTCCCCTTCCATTTGACAGGGTGGAGGGTGGTCTGTCCTGTGCTGATCCGGTCCCTCGGTGACAGTAGGCGGTTGGCGTATTGGCGACAAAGAAAGGAGAGTGGCAGCCAGTGTGCGAGAGTGGGGGTGGCCAGGGTGGTCAGGGTCCTGGTGATGGACTGGAGGTGAGGCCAGTGGCTGGGTGGGGGTCACTGGGTCACTGTGTGGGTTTCTGAGGAATGGGTGGGAGGGGGCGAGGCAGTCGTGGATGGAGTGTAGTCAGTGCCTGAGGCGAGAGCATGGGTGTCAGTATGTCGGTACAGCAGGGTGCAGGTGTGTGGGTCCCAGTGTCCCCGTGAGAGGGTGGGTGGGGTGGGGTCAGTGTCTAGGTTAAGAAGGAGGTGGGTGGGTCAGCGTGCAGAGTCCACTCCTGAACCGGCAGAGATATGACCCCCTCCTGCTCCCCCTCCAGGAGGCCATGTCGGGTGAGGACGCTGAGGTTCGGGCAGTCGCTGAAGATGTCTCCAATGGAAGCAGTGGCTCACCCAGCCCTGGCGACACGCTGCCCTGGAACCTTGGGAAAACGCAACGGAGCCGGCGCAGCGCGGGTGGCGCCAGGACCAACGGGAGTGTCCTGGACCCTGCGGAGCGGGCGGTCATTCGCATCGCAGGTAACTGCGCAGGACCTTGCCTGTGCATCTCCGTGTCACACGCGGGTTGACTGGGTTCTCGCGGTGGGTTGACTGGGTTCGCGCCGCGTGCCGGGCACTGGGGCTGGGACTGGATGGGAGGCCTGGGGGGATCCGCGCGTCCCAGGTGAGTGCAGGCGGCGCAGCGCCACCTGCCGGCCCCGCCTAGGCGGTTCTTGAGACCTGGGGTTGGGCTTCTGGCCGCAGCATCCGTCACTGACTTTAAAACGGTCCAGTGCCCAGCTGCAACAAGGATAATTTTTTGGGCTCCTGGGACAGAGCTGCCCACCAGGCCCTCGGTCTTGGCTGCTACCATGGGGAAGGGGGGCATGTGGGAATGTAGAAGCAGTGTCTAGCGAGGGGGTGCCTGGTTGTCTGGAGCCCCAGCCTCTTCCTGGGCCAGGATCTGGCCTTGCCCTCCAGTAGCTGCCCATCCTGGGAGAAGGATGGGAAGGACCCAGCGAGAGGCCTGGGGAAGGGGGAGGGCAGGAGGGAAGTGGGTGACCTAGAGCTGGAGGCCATGGGAAGGGTGTGCTAGGAGAGGGAGGAGCCGTAGCTCTCTAGGCTTAGGCTGGAGAGTCCTGACTTGTTCCAGCCGGAGGGCAGGGAGGGCCCCTGCGGGAGCCAGAGAGGTCTGCAAGGCCAGGTGCTGAGCCCTGAGGAGGTTGCAGGAAGTGGGGCTGCTGGGAGCAAGAAGGAGGGAAGGAGAGGGTCACCACCGTGCACCCAGCCCCAGCGTCTGGTGTGAGCAAGAAGCAGGGAAGGAGAGGGTCACCACCGTGCACCCAGCTCCAGCCCCAGCGTCTGGTGTGAGCAAGGAGGGAAGGAGAGGGTCACCACCGTGCACCCAGCCCCAGCCCCAGCCCCAGCCCCAGCGTCTGGTGTGAGCAAGAAGCAGGGAAGGAGAGGGTCACCACCGTGCACCCAGCCTCAGCCCCAGTGTCTGGTGTGAGCAAGAAGGAGGGAAGGAGAGGGTCACCACCGTGCACCCAGCCCCAGCCCCAGCCCCAGCCCCAGCGTCCGGTGTGAGCAAGGAGGAGGGAAGGAGAGGGTCACCACTGTGCACCCAGCCCCAGCCCCAGCCCCAGCTTCCGGTGTGAGCAAGGAGGAGGGAAGGAGAGGGTCACCACCGTGCACCCAGCCCCAGCCCCAGCCCCAGCCCCAGCCCCAGCATCTGGTGTGAGCAAGGAGGAGGGAAGGAGAGGGTCACCACCGTGCACCCAGCCCCAGCCCCAGCCCCAGCCCCAGCCCCAGCCCCAGCATCCGGTGTGAGCAAGGAGGAGGGAAGGAGAGGGTCACCACCGTGCACCCAGCCCCAGCCCCAGCCCCAGCCCCAGCGTCCGGTGTGAGCAAGGAGGAGGGAAGGAGAGGGTCACCACTGTGCACCCAGCCCCAGCCCCAGCCCCAGCTTCCGGTGTGAGCAAGGAGGAGGGAAGGAGAGGGTTACCACCGTGCACCCAGCCCCAGCCCCAGCCCCAGCGTCGGGTGTGAGCAAGGAGGAGGGAAGGAGAGGGTCACCACTGTGCACCCAGCCCCAGCCCCAGCTTCTGGTGTGAGGTGCATGAGCTTCAGAGGTTTTCACATCACACGGACTTTTTAAAGAAATAAGTCATTTATTTCCACTTGAAAGGGAATCACTTGTATCGTTCCCACACCTGGGCTCTTCTCAGCATCACCTTCACAGTTGTGGAAGAGTGGGGGGGCGGTCCTGAGGCCCTGGAGGATTGTGGCCACCTCCAGCACTCACTGCCGAAGCCAGCACCCCATGCCAGGGCTCTGCCTCCCTGATGGTTTCCTTAGGACCTACTTCCTGGAGGCCGGACTTGAGTTACAGGACATGTGGTTTTAAACTTGAAGAAAACATGGCCAGGGGCATCCCAGAAAGGGTGGCCAAGATGGTGAAACCCCGTCTCTACTAAAAATACAAAATTAGCCAGGCGTGGTGGCAGCACCTATAATTCCAGCTACTTGGGAGGCTGAGGCAGGAGAATCGCTTGAACCCCGGGAGGAGGTTGCAGTGAGCCGAGATCGTGCCACTGCATTCACTTGGGTGACTGAGGACACTCTGTCTTAAAAGAAAAAAGGAAAAAAAAAGGGTGGCCCACATTGGTGAAGGCTGGGAGAGCCGGGCTTTGCCAAGCTGATGGGTGGAAAGAGCAGTTTTAATGATCACGAAGCATTTTCTCCTGTGAATGGGCGATTCCAGTCCTCCTATGTGCACTTAACTTTTGTTTGTTTTGGTATTTTAAGGGTTCTTTATACCGACTCAGTCGTCTCCAATGTTGCAACGGGAAAGTTCTCAGCGGCGCGCAGGGAGCAAGGAGCGGGGCGGGCAGGGGCGCGTCTCGGAGGCAGTAAGGTCGCCGGCCCGGCGGGGAACAGACAGGTCCCTGTCGCCCCTGGGCTGGGGCCGCACGGGCGGGAACGGGAAGAGGCGTGTGTGCGGGACTCGGAGCCCGCGGAGCCCGCGGGGCCCGCCCGCCGGGAGGCGCCCAGACCCGGCTCCCCCTGCCCGGCCGCCGCCCGGCCCGGCCCCGCCCGCCCGTGGGGCATCCTGGGTGCGGGGGCGGGGCGGGGGCGGCCTCTTTAAGCGGCGCGCGCGGCCGCGGGGACAGAGTGGCCGCCGGCTGCTGGAGGCTCCGCTGCGCCCCGCGCCTCGCTCCCGCCGGCATGGCCGCCCTGCTGACGCCCGGCTCGCCGCCCGACGAGCAAGACTTCATCCAGGCCTACGAGGAGGTGCGCGAGAAGTACAAAGGTACGGCGCCGGCCCCGGGGCTGCGGACAGCCCCGCCGCTTGGCACCTCGTCCACGGTGGCGGCCACTCCGTCGTCCTCGTCCTCCTGGCTCATGCCCAGGGAAGGGGGCGGGCGCGCGCCGCTGAGCCCCCGCGGCCATGCCCTTAATAGGGCATCTCGTGGTGCGGGTGGGTGGGGTGGGCCGCGGGCGGGTGGGGGCGCTCAGGGCTTGTCGGGGTCGGCTGTCTGAGCCAGGATTCGGTGTCA